TCCAACAAATTTCTCATTGGAAACAGAATTTGTTAGGTTTTCTCTAAAATTTGTTAGGTTGTTAGGAGTAATAAAATATTTTGAGTAAATCATTCATCAAAAAGAGAATAAGTAGAAGAATATTTTTCTCTCAATTTTCTTCAGGTACTGTATGTGTAAAGTGTAAATTGTTATTTGATGGTCATAAATGTTAGGTTATCATGGTCTTAATGAATAAATTCCTCATTCTTGCAGACTATAACAGAGGTCTATACTAAAATTCTATGGGTGTGCATTTTACAACAAGTTGTGTTGGTTTTTTGCTAGTGCAATTTTTTTGAACATTACCTGTTGATTTTGTTGGTGGATATGGAAGTGCCAAATACTTACAGGATATCTTCATCTTGGGATTAATTGCCTTAATCCATACAACATTTAAACTTTGAAGCATATCATTCTCTCTCTATTTTGTGCATCTTTTCTATCTGATGCTTTTAACAATTACGAGCAATCTTTTTGGATTGTTTATTTGGATATCAGAAGCACGCACCCGATTTTTTCTTGTCGGCGTTTTCCGCTAATTTGGCTGGTATTGATCCAGTAGTTGCTTGTATAGATAAATAAGGCAATTCTCATTCTTTATGTTTTACTAGTGTGTTGTGATAGTACCAGTGTTATGGATGCCTGTGATTTTTCTATGATAGTGTTGTTCTTGCTTGCAGCCCATTTCCTAGGTCTACTTTATATAGGTTCTTTAATTGTGTGCAACATGGTTTCTGTTCTTAAGCTTGATAAATTACATTGAATTGACTTTTTTACTAGAACATTGATTTTAAACATGATTCCCATTTGTTCTTAAATTTGTTAAGTTACAGAGATTCCACCATTCAACTATAATTTATTTGATTGTGCAATGTGAAGGATAAGGAAAGGTTTTACCTTCTTAATATTGTCTTGTAATTCTAAATGCAGTACGTTCAAGAAGAAGGCTCCTAAGGCCATCAAGGAGATAAAAAAGTTTGCACAAAAAGCTATGGGGACAAATGACGTCAGAGTGGATGTCAAGTTGAACAAACATATCTGGAGCAGAGGGATCCGAAGTGTGCCTAGGAGGATTCGGGTTCGGATTGCTCGAAGAAGAAATGATGATGAAGATTCCAAGGAAGAGCTTTACTCTCTTGTCACAGTTTCAGAGATTCCACCATAAGGATTGAAAGGGTCTAGGGACCAAGGGCATTGAAGAACATGAGTGATCTATAACTGTTAAACTGATCCTGTACTTCATATCCAAGAAACAAGTTTGAATTATAGTTTTGGTGAGAGTTCTATGGAAAACCTTTTACTTAATTTATCACGTTTTGGCATTTTCGTTCTTGTTGTAGTGAACTGCTGTTTTTGGGACCTTTCCCCTGTCATGACTTATTTTGACAAGGATGAATGGCATTTTGTTTTCTGCTGCACAATGCTGGTTAGTGTTTTGTAATTTCACCCTTATGTTTCATGTCTCTCCTTGATTAGCCAGCAATATGTTTTTTGACGGCGGACCCCTGTCTCCAGTTTTGTTCGTAAGCCCAACTTTGATGTAATTGTTCTTGATGCAATTAGAAAATTGTATCTAACCATGCAAGATCTTTGAAGCTCATATTTCAAGTTTTGATAATAACTGAAGGTTACAGCCTTAGAAATTGCTCTAGGAAATTGATAAGGAAAAAAATAAGAAGCAAAACAGAAGCTTGAGATTTCTTGGTCAGCAGCACGAGTAAGAAATTTACACATTTTCATATTCAAAAACTTGTTCATAAATTGAATTTGAGGGTATTCGCCCAAATATAAATTGGTTTTTAAGGCGAACTTGTATTACATTTGTTTGATATTCTCATTCCTGCAAGACACTCTCCTTCGCATTAATTTTTTAAGACGTTTGTTGTGACACATTTTTGTCAAAGTATTACTTAGACTTTAATACGAAAGGGATCCAATTCAGGATATCTACGATTCAGGAACATCAATTAGGCCAGTAACTACTGATTCAAATATCCAAAGAAATGCAATGAATGTTGCCAATCAAAACTATACACATTAAGCTGTTGAACAGACTGATAAAACAGCAACCAGAACCAAAAAAAGCCCATTTATAATCTTTATAAATCCGTGCTTCTACACTAAAAAGGAGATTCTATATATTCAAACCCACGTTGGTAGCTAGCCTCTAATCCTATTTCTAAAGAACCCGGGTAAGCAAACTCTGAACTGTGAAACGCTTCCTCTACTAATAGTATCTCCAGACAGCAGACTCCAAAAACTAGCTGGCTTTATAAGAATACATATAGCCTCGAAGTTTTCTTACTTCTTCAGATGATTCAACAAGTAAATGGTTTACATAGAGACACATCCCAGCTCCGCTGCAATCTCACAAATGAGCTAAAGATTGTAACTGGTTTTAACAGGAGTTTCAGCGACAAAGTAAAAAAATTTAAATAGAACATACCTAACAGGTCCAAACGGAAGCCAGATGACATCCCAGTGAAATTTTGGCATGCTAGCACATGGGAATCAATCATCATAAGACAAGCAGATTAGAACTTCCAGCAGGACGAACTATAAATTGTACAGGCACAAGCAGAAGACAAGCAAGATAAACTGTACAAACTAACTGACGCAAGAGAATCTAAGGCATGGTGAAAGATATTGGAATATTGACTTGCTAATTGAATGACATCATGTTACAATAGGATTTACAGAGTAATTAGCACTAATTACGACACTGAGTGGTAAATAAGAATACATTTGCCAGTATGAGTGAATTTAATTGTTTAATTAGTTACTAATGATTACAGAGGGAAAATAGCGCCCTAGATTCGGACATACGAAAACCCAAATCTTTGTTAATATTGGTGAAAGAGATACCATATAAGACTATACCAACCTATTTTTGTCTGATCAAAATTTTATTAACAATATTAATGCACGTACAAAGTTGTAAAACCAAACAAAAAAACATTGAAAGATTGAACTTCGATATGTTGACGTACCTCAGCATATAATACAACCAAAAAACTGTCAGAGCAAGGCCAACTGAGCATGAGTACCAAATCCATCGTGCATGATCATTTGAATTATTAAGTAGACCAGTGATAGCCAAGGAGCATGCCAGAACAGCAACCCAATCTGCTAATGAAACAAGCATTAAACTTTTTTACTTCTTCTTTTCTTTTGTTAGGTTGGGGGAGAAGAGAGAAGACAACAGCAAAAACAAACAAAACAGAAACATCTTAGAGGTGATTTTCAAATGCAAGCAGATAGGTGTAAGAATAAGAATATTATTCCAGAGACTAGCACTATATGCATAATTTAGCAGTACCAGGACAAATCATGACTTTCTATCTGCAGTTACATAGCAAGGCATTTTTAATCAATAAATCAATCGACCAACAGTTTTTCAATTTTTGAATGATTAGAGTCAAACTCTGTGAAAGAGAGATAGACATACCATATTATTTGCAAAAGAAAATTTCTTCTACTGTCAAGAGAACGATCTTCTTGTTTAACTAACATACGGTCAAGTTATTTCAGTTGACCATAACATAGAGAATAACTAGTGAACCGCTCTAGATCTGTTAATTTCA